ATTCTTTGTATATTACATCATACGTTACATTTTATGTTACATCAATACGATCGTCATGATATCTAACATATTACAAGAAGCATTTTGTCCTAATAATTGGCGAAATAACGCAAGAGAGAAATTCTCTTGTGCATGCTTCATAGAGTCAAATTTTTCCCCTCTCTTGAATTTTGATGAAACAGAATTTATTGGATTTACGACTTACGATATTCAAGACGAGATTGCGCCGCCAGACGAGATTCTTGAGGGCCAGCATCAGTTGCAGAATGTAGATATCGCGAGCGTATCGCGGGATATATCCACGTTGCGCCTTCACTTTTCTTACTGATTGCACTTCGAGTGAAACTGTGCAACGATCACAATCAGTTTCCTTGCGCTAACTGTGAACTCGGGTAAAAGCAGTTTTATATATATATACGTGGACGATATCGATATCGGTTGTAAACGGGGGTCAAGATAGGAAATTACTTACAAATTTTTTCTTCTCGAGGAATTTCTATTATCTCTATGTCATAAGCGATCCAAACTATCTTAAATAAACTATTCTAAGCCATGCGATTAAGCTTACATTTAAACATTTTTTGTCATGATACTAGACTGTTAATTAACAAATTCGGCAGTTTTTAATTAATAGAATGAGATCATATCGTATCAAGAATTTAGTATTTATCTGTTATAAATTGAATAACGATAAAACATTATTCTATCATAATATATTCTTGATAACAGTATTTATTATTAAATAATACGAATTGCAAACAATAAAAAACAAAAAGCCAATGCGCGAATTTTCTTATTATTTTATTAATGATATTATAGAATAATATTCTAGCAATAAGAATTAATAATCGATTGACAAGAAAAATATAAAAATGTTTTCTTTCTAGAATTTCTAAATTTATCTCAATCTAGAATGAATTTGCAAAACTATATTTGCAACGTAAGCCATTTCTTAAGCAAATACTGATAGTGCAGATTTAAATTTATTTACGTCAAATGTAACATCGAATCAGAATTGACCAGAGATTTTTTTCTACAACATCGATGACTTTCTAATCATAAGACGCGAACTGATGTAAGTGCAAACCGGCTTGTTCCAGTTAAAAGGAAAGATTCGTCGATTTTGGGATCATTAGTTCACAAAGAAATAAAAAATCTTGTCGATAAATTCGTTTCTGTTTATACTAGCAGTTTCGAACTGCCGCGAACCGGTTTCGGGTCACTCTGCTCAATGAGGTTACACGATCTTTATCACAAGACCATGTGAACTTAAAGTACGTATTTAATATTATCTATTTCACGCATCCGTAATTTGTAATTCCACGAAAATGATCGGTCATCGCGTTATTAAATGAGTTATGTAACCCTGTTACATAACTCATTTAATAACGTCCTCATTTCATAAAGGATCGTCTAAATTATGTCGAAAGGAATTGCATTTTCTTTAAAATTAAAATAAGCCGAATGAATTTTTTCAGACGAGTACTTTTCATGGCCACTTCATAAATAGACACATCTAAACTAACTCTTTGCAACCAATAAGAATCTGTACTCGTTTATGAGGTTTACGTTGCTTTCAAATTCTTTAATTAAACAGTAACAAGATATAACTTTAAGAGTTTAATAATTGGAAAATAAAATGAATGCATATGAAAATTATATGTGTGTATGTGTATTATATATTTTTATATTATTATACTACATTCGGGCTAAATATGTATGCATATAGCTAACGCTTAGGAAACTATTAAAACAAATTATTGTATAGATAAATGTAAAATTAGATTAAATATCTACAACATATGATACAACATATACAATTTTGTTATTCAAGTTGGTTCTTGTTGACATTGCTTCATTAATATTAACTATGCTAATATAGCTTATTTGATAAGCTATATACTATGAATTTATCAGCATATAGCTTTATATAAGAATAAATTTATTACATAGTGTATATATATTTATTTGAATAATAATTTATTCATATTATATATATATATATTGAAAAATTTGTCGCAATAAGAGACAACTCAAAAATTCGCGAAGAATTTTATTGTATTTATACAAACAAAAAAAAATCGCTTCTGATAATAAAGTGATTTTTTCTTCACATCTAATACGTAATAATTTAAGGTAACAGTTTTAGATTCTTGGGACTTTCCATTTATGCGATAAACCGAAAATACAGATTCGCTAGTCGAACAAAACGCTCAATATCGTGGTACTTTGAATTCAGATGTGCCCTCGATCGCCGTTGTCGGTTTCCTCTTGTTCATAATGTTCTGGATCTTTTGCCATTCGCGATCGAGTTCTGCTTTCTCATTTTTCTCTTTGTTGTACTTTCTTGTGCGTCTACCATCAGCCATCTTTACGCCATACTGAAAGGCTGCTTTGGGCAGCGCCTCCTTGTTGTTCATATATTCGCTGTATTCCTCGGGCGTGTCAAAGTCCCAGCGACCTATCGGGCCCTTTTTGTTACCTAGGTCCATCTTCGTATAATCCACCTCATCGTCCGAATCATCGATAGCATCTTGCATCTCGTCTAAACCTGGATAACACTCGGCGTATCCTTCCGGTTCAGCCGCGAGTTTGTTCAGCAATGCACCCTTTTTCGGCGCATTGCTGTCTGCTGCAACGACTGCAGCGGCCATCGCGTTAGGCTGTAAAGCGTTCGGCAACTGAGGCGCGTTTGCCTTGTCATCAGTATCCAGATTAGATTCGGGCTTATCAAAGTATGAGCCCTTCTTCTTCTCGCGCAATTGCGCATCCTTTTTGCTCATCATCGTCGGTACATAATCGCCAATGTCGCCATAAATACTCTCATCAGCAACGGGCTGACGTGACTGGATGTCTAGTTCGTTCAGCTCGTCGCCACGACCGCGTCCGTCCTTAAGTTTCTTGCCCTTCTTGCTGTGACGGCTTCCCTGGCGCAAGTACGATAGTATCTGAGCCAATTTGTTTATTACGATATCATTGGTCGTGAGAGTTGGTGTGTTGTCGATCGTAGGTACGTCCGCCTTGCTTCTGATGAGCGTCGTCGGTATGTCGACGTCAGCATTTTCGTCATCTAGCTCGATCACATATGCCATGCGACCTGGCGTAAACAGTTCATTTCTTTCAATTTGCTTGGATTTCATGGTCATGATCGTCTTGTATACGTTTCGACCGATCTTGGTCTTGAATTGCATCTCGTCATCTTTCTTCTCTGGAAGTGGTTCTTTCTTTGATTTCTCCTTTGGCTTCACCAGTTTCTCCAACTCCTGCTCTTGCTCGTGTTCTTTTGCTTCAATTTCACTGCGTACCTATAAAATATGTAGCATTATATTATTTAAAAATATATATTGAATGTAAGTTTAAGTAAATAAAATTTAAGATTGAAATGTATACTATTATCTGTATTTTATATACTCAAATTTTTAATGACTTTATTTTAAATAATTGATAAATAAATTGATTCAATATATCTATATTGCAATAAAGGACTATGCCCAGTTTGGGCCTCGGCTGAACAGTATTGAGCTCTAGTTAGGATTGTAGAGCATCAAAAAAGGATTAAAAAGTTTCATATGCACAACTTTGTAAAATGAGTTCCTTGAGTGCTACAGCTGTTCAAAGTTCGCTATTATGACCATGTATTGCATATCATATTGTATTGCGTAGGACTGGTTTTATTCGATTTCTCGAATCATCTAATATCTGGAATATATCCAATCTTGACGAAGACAACTAAAACCTTTTTTAGACCCCAAATAAATAGTTATAAGTGATATATATAATCGATGAAGAGAGAAGAGAGACACTCAAAGTATGAAACAAAAGTTTTAATTGCCTAATTGAAATGTGGCCAATATATGTTCTAGGAGCACTCAGGAAACCTTTCCTATAAAGTTAGGCTTATGGAATTTTGGATTCTCTTTTGATACCTTAAAATTTTAGGCGTGTCTCAAAGTTGTTCATTCGGGGTCCAAATTCCGCTATAAAACTGGGCATAGTCTTTTTCTGGTCTAATCTTTTAAGACTGATAAAACCATAAAATAGAGATAATAAAATTCTGAAGGCATTATACCTTCTGCAGAAGGGCGTAATCCAAGCCTTTGACCAAGTGAGTGTGCTCCATGTCACCACCCAAGAATTTAGACTGTTGAATCATCTGTCTTCTGCGTTCTGCAGCATCCATGCCAGATTTTAGGTCAGGTGCAACAGCTCGGTAAGCACTAGCATTGTTCATGGGATCTTCTGCCTGGTAATCTTGATTGGTACCGTCCCTGCGTTCTCTCGCACGATCTCTGTATTTCTCAGCTAGCTCAGCCATCTTATCCTCCTCCTGCTTCTTTAATTTCGCATAAAAGCTCTTCTTCTTCCTTCGCAACTCAGCCCGGCTGCCACCGCTGACCTGGGGCGTCTGGGCAGTTTTTGCACTTGCATCCCTTACTGTACCTGGTACGGAGGCTGGAGTGGCTGAGGGTACTGACGCCCTTGGAGTCATCAGGAGCTTTCGGAAATCATCGTTCGTCAAGCGAACGGACATACTCGCCTCTTCCTCCGTTTCAGGCATCTTGGCTGACTGTTTTCCTGGTGTTAGAAACAAAATTAGAATCATTAACATTTTAGACAAAAAAACCATGAATAACAAAATTTTTTCCAAAAAGTGAAACATTTACCTTTAGTGTTGTTAAAAACTGTAAAATGCAAAATAACAATCCCTGCACGATAATAAAAACGTCAAGCAAGTTTGTATATTTACATGTACTACGTCAAGGATCGGTACGATTTATAGGTTAATTAATTTGAAGACATCTTATGACGGAAACTCGAAGTTCCGAATGCAGGGATGCCAATGTAGAGTTCTTTTGCAATAAGCAAATGTTCCTAGATGTTAATAACTAGGATATAGAATCAAATCTCCTGCCAACCTACGATATTTAGGGAATTTCGAAAAACACAATCCGCCAATAGCGAAACTCGACGATCCCGAGAGATATCATACCGACCGTTGGTTGCTATCGACGTCGCCTTTTTCCGAGTCGCAGTGTGCATGACTGTGCATGAGACGATCTTGAAGTTGTAAATTTTTGCCGTGGAGAGCCATGATATCGGAAAACATCATGTATGCGGCGGAGAAATGAGGCAAATCGCGTCGTGACGTCTCGAGGGACTTCGCCGCTCGACTTGAACAACGCTGGAGGTTAACTCCCGCCGGAGACACTCGCGTATCCAAATGGTTACGACCTCGTGTTATAACCTACGTCGTGTATGCGATCCTTACATCAGCTGATGAGTTCGATGTAACTACGCGTTCACGACAACGGATTTTCAAACATCTCGTTCCCTCGATTTATCGGACAGAAAACGTTGCAATGGCAGACCTCGCCTTGGGGGAGCTCAGCAGCGATCAAACCGAAAAAGTACTACAGTTTCAGGTACAATCTTACTTGTTCCTTATCATATTAAAATTACGCGCATTATTCCTATGCGATATCGTGAATGATGTCACGTAATGATCTGCAGGACCTCACCGGCATCGAAGATCTTTCGGTATGCAGAGACGTTTTGCAGAGGCACAATTGGAATTTGGAAGTGGCGGTTCAAGTACATTATTTTTCTTTTATATCTTAATTTAGTCTTGCAGGACTGCGTTCCAAAACTTTACTCTAACAATGAGTAAAAGAATTAACTCTTGGGTATTCATACATAAGTAATAAAATTCACTCTTGGATATTCTTTTTTTTTTCTCTTTAGTAATGAATATAGTTTTGTGATCTATTTATGACACCTGAAGACTTTACTTAAGATAGTCTTGAAATAAGAGAGGACCAATTATAAAAACCCCTTGAGTTACTCTCTTCGTCGTAGTAAAGTCTTGGAGCATAGCCCAATCATTTTATGATTCCTAACTTTTACAAAATATTGAATATTATCTGAAATGATTAACTGTGGACAAAATTACATCTTTTTATGACAAGCAGTGTACTTATTTATTATTAATAATTTATGTTGCTAATAAATATCTCGTATAAACCCCATATATGATGCAAAATATCATGAAACTCCAATTTGTATCATTCAAAATGTTTCTCTGTGTTGTAGGAGCAATTAAATTTATATGAAGGCAGACCATCTATGTATGCACAGGACTCGCGTGCTCGCCCACCCCAAGTCGTAGACGACAGTAGTTCAAGAATTTATTTTAGTTATCCTGGAAGCTCTGGTGGAGGTGGTGGTCTCTTATCCTATATTTTTTCCATGTGTTATAATCTAGTGAGCAGTATCCTGCAGTTACTTTTTGCAATATTTAAAAGAAACGTTAGACCTGGTAAGTAGTATACAATAACAAACCATCTATTTTATCATGAGTTAATTTTTTTTCTTAAGAATCAACACAGACATTTATATAGAATATTTTATAATTATGCTTAAAATTAATAAATTTTTAATTAAACTCTTGTAAGATAATTTACTGACTGCAAATTGATTAAAATTAATTTTACTAATTATCCTTGTAATCGCATACATACAGATTTATGATTCATACGCTAATTGAAGCGCTAATTGAAAATAAATAATATCTTTCAAGTGTCCTCTGATCCAGTGGAAGATGTAGTCAACTTTATTAGATCTTATGAGGAGCGTTATGGTAATATTCACCCAGTATTTTACCAGGGCTCCTACAGTCAAGCTCTTTCAGACGCGAAACAAGAATTAAGATTTCTCTTGGTATATCTGCATAAAGATGAAGCGCAGGAAGTTGATCAATGGTGCAGGTAATCTTAGGATTCTAATAGATAGTATATATACAAAATACACAAAGATGAATTGATACTGCACATCTGATGATATCATATCCAATAAAAGAATTTGATTATAGTTAAGCTGGAAACACAATGGACACAAGCAACAGAGAACGAGCTAATCAGAGCTTTGGGGTATAAGTTTGTTATTATATCCCAGAGCTCTGATTGGACGGCTCGTTATCCCCTGTTCCCTGTGCCTGTTGCCATTGTGTTTCCAGCTTTATAGCTTCATTTTTTTCTCCAAGAAACAAATTCTCCTGTTGGTTATTGTATGTCGGATGTCATACGATGATATAAATCCTATATAATACGTTTTTTTTTCCAGAAATACATTGTCTGATCCTGAAGTAATAAGATATATAAACATACATACTTTATTCTGGGCATGCAACGTAAAATCCGGAGAGGGCTATAAAGTCGCGGAAGCGCTTAAATCGGGTTCATATCCTTTCCTAGCGCTTATTGTATTAAAGGACAATAGAATGACAATAGTTGGTCGGTACGTAAGACTAATCTATCTGCATACTTTGAAACAAATGTTTGTATAGCTCTTCATTATTCAAAATTTAATTAATACTTATTTTTTTCTCTTATAGATTGGAAGGCGCGCCATCTTCTTCTGATTTAATGTCACGATTGCAAACTATCATAGAACGTAATGAAATCAATCTTATCCAAGCACGTCGAGAAAGGTAATTAAAATTTTTCATAAAATTTGTAAATATCTTAATCTTTGCAAGAGAAAAAAAAGACATAGATAACATTGATTAAAAGTTATCTTTTAAACTGCTGATATGTGTTTTATTTTAGGGCAGAACGTAGCGCGGCGCAATCGCTTCGACAGCAACAGGATCGCGCTTACGAGGAGTCGTTACGTGCGGATCAGGAGAAGGATCGCAGAAGAGAGGAAGAACGAAGAGCACGTGAAGAGCAAGAGGCCCGAGAAAAGGAAGAATTGAACGCTCAGGAATTGGAAATTCAACGTATACGTCTCGAGAAAGAACTGACTATTGACAAAGTACCCCTCGAGCCGGAACCATCTAATCCCCATGCATGTCATCTTCAAATTAAACTTGGAGAGAGAACAATGAAAAGAAGATTTCTTATGACTGATACAGTCAAGGTAATTAGTATGAACAATTATAAATATAAACAGTAGTGAAAATCGACCAAGAAACCCAAATAAGTGAAGATTATATTCGGTCAAAATGGTCTTGGTACCCAATAATATTTTTGTGTAATTTTACAATTTCCAGTTCAAGTAAACTTAAGTATTCCAACTTCAGTTTGGATTGTTTTGAGATCGACAAATAATCGGCTCGCATTTGCTTGAAGTGAAAATTGTATATATATAAAATTCACAAAAATAAAATTTTCAAAAGTTTTTCAACGCACTTGTACACGTTCAATTTATTATTATTGATTTAGCAAAAACAATGATGATATAATGATATAATAAAAATAAAATCATTTTTTTTCAGGATGTTTATCATTGGATATTCAGCCAACCAGATTCTCCAGCGAGTTTCGAAATAACAACGAGCTATCCGAGAAGAGTCCTCTATCCTTGTAGAGACATTTCGACTCTATCGGATGCCGGTTTAACCCACAGAGAGGTTCTTCACGTTAACGATCTAGACGACTAATTGACTAATATCAATATTTCAATATGACATTCTTCAAGTTCTAGTATCATTCCACGGAAAAATGATACTGTCATGAAAGACACTTGTCAAGGGATACAAGCACATGCAGCATATACACACAAGATACATACACACACACATATATATACATATACATACATACAGAACACACATACACACACACATATATATATATTTGATACATTCTAGTACTTTATGTGAGATATACTTTATTGGATGAAAAATATAATTACACGAAATATACCAAAAGATAGGAATCAAAAGAAGAGGGGAAAAAGATGTGTCTATACATGCAGCTTATTTAAATTAACAATCGGTATTTTGACCACCGCATTTATGAAAAAATGCATTTCGTATATTTAAAAAAAGGTAATGATATATAGATAGGAATATATTAAAAATTTTTTTGTGTAACGATCTCGTAAAAAAATGTACAACAAATTTCTTTTATATCTTCTGACACTAATACTAAACGGTGTCATATATATAAAAAGTGATACGTACACTTTACGGATGAATTTCAACGCTTGGATACATCTGTCTGAACACACTCCTGTAAATTTATCTATTTATTTCTCTGTGACATACACCGAATTTGTCCAATATAATTAAATATATGTAAAGGGGGGGAGCAAAGAGAATCTTTTTTAATACATGTTTATTGTGCAATCGGTTCATTATTGATAGCAGATGTATTCATTTGATACTTTCGTGATCCAGAATAAGAATTGATATCAAGAAAATAATTAATAAATTCCATGAATAAATTCCACATATAGATTTTGATAGAAAAATTTTTGACTATTTTAATCAGTTATAAGTGTTATATAATATTTTGATTTAACGAAAAAAAATGCGTAGCTCGCCTAATTGTATGTTTCATATATCTGATATAAAAAGCATTGAATTTTTTATCGATTACTCAACCGGTTTAGTCATGTTTTCTTATAGAACAATATAGCAACATTATTTCACAATTTTACGCAATTGTTTCCTGTTTTACATCTGATAATTCTTTTTCTTTTGTTACTATAAGATATATATATATATATATATATTATAAAGGATATAACGTTTCAGTTTTGACCAATAATCCCAGTTGCAAGATTTATTTTTTTTTAATTTTTTAATGTACATTTAACTGAATTATGTACAAACTCATCATTTCATCATGTTATGCAAGTATCCTGACGTATTTACAGTAAGTGGGCATAAATATAACAATTGCAGATTATGAACACAGATATTCTGTACATTGTTAGCGATTATGAGTCATTGATAAATGTTGCCTATTACTAAAGTAGGAAATTGATATTATTTAATTACATGATTACACGAAATAATTTTCAAATAATAATTTAAAATTGATTTATTAACATGATTTTAGTGAAACAAGATACCAAGGGAAATATACCTCACGCATTAACGAAGTACAGAATACTGCTTTAGGAAGAAAACTGTCAGGTGTTGACATTCTATTTCGAATGAGTTTTTGATTTTGGCGAGACTTTTGCCCTTTCCTTGGAGTATTGCGCACGACTGTGAGTGAGCAAAGAGTTATATACTTTGTTATTCAGTTTGACATCAAAACCACCCGTGTCTCCCGTATGAATTCCCGGTGGGAATTGTAATAATCGGCAAGCGTTAATCCTGGAAGACATTAAGATGTCATGCTTCGTAACAATCCTAGAATCTTTTCCCATCTTTTTGTAACCGCAACGTGGTATCGAAGCATATTCTTTTTCTATGCTCTGAAACAACAATGTATTATCATATTTTATAAGTACTTTTATTATATGTTAATACATTGTCAATGCAAACAAATTCTTAATCTATATAGTATCTAATTTGCATGTAAGTATATATCTTATAAATTATATTTATAACATTGCATAGCACTTACGACAAACCGATCAATATCCCTGTTACTGTCGTCTACGTTACAATCTGCATTATCTTCATCCTTGATATTGTACAAAGAGCTGCGGTAATTACTGAATGAGATGCTCACTGAAATAAGAGAAAATAACTTGAAATAATATAGACAAGGAAATTGACATATTTCTTGTCACCTTTTGAGTCACGATTGAACTTCTCTTCTGTGCGCTTCAACATCGTGTCGTACTCGCGATTAAATTGAGTTTGTAACAAATATGCTATGACTTCATCGTTGCCAGTATCACTTGCATCATACGTTTCTCCCATCGTCTTATCCATTACATTCACGTTATCCTCATCAAAACATTTCTTCAGTTCCCTTGCGATACAAAAATTACATTATACAAACGTTTCAGTTCCATACTTTGGCACCAACTTGGAATGTTAAACGTTTTATTTTTATGATGTAAAATGAAGGTCATGTCTCGAACATATTTCATAGGAAAGTTACCAAGTTTTCACGATATATATTATAATATTTAAGTTTAGCATAAACAGTTAATGGAAAGTTGAGAATTTTGTAAAGTCTACTTATACGAAGAAATCTTAAATGATAAAGGCAGAGGTTTCTCTCTGATAAAGATAAATGGACTCGTCGCAAGCAATATTTACCTCTCCTGCATGCTCGCTGCCAATTGTTCCGTCGTGATATCCAATAAATTAACAGGACTCTCCAGAGGTTGTATTTTCGCCCATACTTTTGGAGTTGCCATTACTGTAATCGACCGGAATGAGCTGAAATTGTACGAATACAACCACGATGTCGCACAAACAGAAGAGGAGATAAATATGAGATGGAAGGAGATAAATATGAGTTTCAAGATACCCCCCCTTATTTAAAACACTTCTTGTTACACGAGACTGTTGTCTAGAACGTTTCTGCCTCAGCCCCCCGATACCCCGAGACCATAATGTAAGTAGATCAAGTAGATGAAGTAGACACTGCTTACATCACGTCCGGAGAAATATCGAGTTGATAAAACAGCGTTACGTTTCTCTTCTTCAAATTTCCAATAAATGATAATTGTTGAAAGTTTTTATAATTACCATTTGATGGAAATTTGAAGAAAAAAAACACAATAGTTGCCGCAAAATTGAAGAGCACCGATATTACCGCTAATCGATAAATATGTAATCTGTTAGTTTTAATATATTTAATATATTGTATATGTGTATATATATATATATATATATAATATACCTATGATTTATTATGGAAGTTCTTTACAAGTATATGTATTCACGTACAACGTGGTATCGTTATATACGATGCTTGTGCCTTGTGTTGATTTGTATCACCAAATGGAAATAAAAATATCACGTTAAAATTAGTTATTAGACTTATAACCGCGGTTAACTGTTTTTAATATATCAATATATATAATTTTACTAATGATATTTATTTATTGAAAATTTTATTAAGTTTTGTTAATAGACAAAAAATATGTATAAATAGATATCAAATTATTACTAAAATGATGTACATATTGTAAATTGTGTTTTTAAAGATTATTAAAGAGACGATAACCGATTAAAATCTAATAATTGAATATATTTTTATTTATTAACATCATTTTAATTGTTATCATTTACATTTAATTATTCGTGCGAATGTGCGCATTAGTAGAACATAATCTGTAAGAATGTACTATTTAAAAAATTGCAAGAATTCTCTATACTTCTAAAAAATTTCTCAAGTCTTGAAAATCGACATGTTCTGAAGAGCATAATTAATAAAGTGGTTGCACTATTTAACGTTCTAAAAATTAATGGTTCTAAAAATTTGTATAATAAAAATTATTATATTTAAATGTGTACAAAATAGAAATTATATTTAAAAAATTAAAAATGTTTGGCGCACACATCTGTTGGTATTAATTTTGTATTCATTCAGAAGATGTATTTTCGTTTTTTAAATTGCTGCATATATCAAATAATATTATACTACAAGCTCGAGGATAAATATACATATCCAATTCTAATTATTATTAATTTATTTCAGTAGATCTAGTACATACACAAACGATTCTTTTTTTTTCTTTTTAATAATATTCCATTCACTCCCATCGGCTTTTCCTCAAATTGTCTTTCAAATTCCATAGCTAAACCGATCTTGGAAACTTATGCCAAAAGCAGTGATTTGGCGAGTTCATTAACGAAAATTTAAAGTAATTTTGGTTTTCGAAACTGGGTAGAAAAGACTGAACAATACGCATACGTTTAGTTAAGATCGTCGGTATCTTGTTGCGATTACATTAGTTCACTCTACGGTAATGCATGGGGCACGAATGTCTCACAATTTACAAATCTAATATACGTGATTATAATTATCGGATGTTTTCTTTTTATAAATAAGATAAATCATCATATATACAGATACATTACCGATATCATACGTTTACATATAGAATAAAGACAGCAGCTTATATTAGTTTTCGAATGTCGAAATGCATATTTTGTCCCTTATCTTAATATAATGCAATCTTAATATGTATAAAGAAAGTTTGCTCTCACTAAGACACTAAAAATGGTTCATTTTTTCTTAAGTGATAAAAAATGCCATCAAAAAGAGAATCTACCTACGATCCTCATTTTTCTTTTCTTGTCAAAAGAATAAGGGAGATATTACATTCCTTAACAATTAAATTAAAAAATAAAATTATAAAAAGAAAATCCATAGCGTGTATCGAAATTCTACAACCCATGCATTACGATAAGTGCATCATGCAAAAGTTTCTTAGCTACATTGTCCAAATGTCAGTCTTGACGCATGAAGTGATTGCCGTTGTTCACCATAGTGAACGTACATACAATTAGAAATAAACCGCAGGCCCTAAAGTATCGTGGATGTTCTAAAAGTATACCAACACGCGTAACCTATTGTCGCAAATTTCGTGAATAAGTTACAAGTAATAAATTGTGTTTGAATTAGAGCACCTTAAAAGTGACGACGTGAAGAAGTTTGACATTATAAACTAAAAGGTCTTAAATAGACTTAAGTAAATAATGTATTCGTTTTATGTTTCTACGTGCAATACACATTAAGAGCTAAAAGGATGTAAATTAAATCCTTAAAAAAAAACTTAAGAAAATAATCTAAGTCGATATTTCCTATGAAGAACGCATGTATAAATACAGAGAATGTGAAATCTTGAATCTAGATGCCGAATGTACACGTAATAAATACAGAAGTAATGCAACTCGATTTGTAAAATATTACGTTTTCACCTGGAAATCTCTTCGTATCCTTTTTCTAGAAAAATTCAGCTAAAAACTGTAATTTACGAAAAATAATGTTACAGCGCAAATGATTCTCGCGAGACAGTTCAATTTGCGCTATTTTGAGTTCATGTTTGAGCCACTGTGATCCAACACTTAACATTCAGGCTGTAAGACACAATTATCTTGTTATAAAGATTGTATTGTATCAAAGAAATTATAATATGTAGAGTAATTAACGATATTATTACGAAGAGAGTATAATTTTCATACTTTCTTTATCATTATTTTATCACGAACCTGTAAAGCCTTGCGGTGGTTGTCCCGGAACTGAGTATTGTGGTCTAAAATTCCCGAAATTAACAGCACCTGCGAAAGTGGCTGGCAACTGTCCTCCGGAGAAACCGGCCGGGAACTGCTGAGCCAGTAATGCAGCCTGTCCAGTTTGAGAACTAGTGGCACCGGGTGCCGTGGCTGCCAAACGACTTAATATTGACCTTTCCGACATTTGGAGTCTCTGAGCGACTGGTGGAATGCGAGCCAGAGTTGCTGGTAAACGACTCACGTCTGATTTCATATCAGACAACAATTCTTCCAATTGGTTCAACACCTATAAAATAAAAAAACACATACACGTTTAGATCACTGACATCTTAGCGTTGGGAAATTTATTCGCATATAAAATATTTGGATTTAGTTGAACGAACCTTATGTAACACAGCGTTCGCCGGTTTATTACCGGCAAGACTTTCCTTACTAAGATGTTGATGGGATTCAGCAAGACATTCAACTTCAGCAAATCGTGCATTAAGACTCATGGCAGGATGATTAGGATCCTGTGTGAGATTCAAGTAGGCAGCTCGCCTCAACTGTTCTTCAATTACCAAAGCTTGTTCCAAGAGTTTAAAACGCCTCGCTAGAAACTTATTCTTTATCTCCAAAAAGTTACCTTTTCCCATGTCCATCTTGAATGGCTCGTTGATAATTGCGAACCTATAATAAGCATAATAATTTAATATAAGTAGAAATAAAAGGAATTTTGAATCATAATAATTAATATTGTCATACATCATAACATTAAAACTACAATCAGAATTTTTATTCTGTAATTTAGAGTTACAAGGATAAATGTGCACACTTTTAAGGCTTTCATGGATATTTTCTTCTGATACTGATACAATAACCCTTTTGGCACCTCTGATAAATTTGCATCTAAACACAATGATAGATTCGTAAATAACTATTTGTTAAAAAAAGCTTCTATTACCGAATATCATTTTGAATATCCTGCCAACGTCCATAACCATGCGTGACAATACCCGCCAAGAGCCAATAATCGTGTCGACGATGCCAAATATCGTATTCGCGGCCCGGCGCTGCGGCTTTTTCTTCATTCAGCCAAAGCGTGTGCAATTCTGTAAAACCACCGTCAGCTATGTTAAACATGAATTTACGTTTAGGCTTTATCACTTCTTGATCACAGTCTTTGACATCCTTTTCTTTGTTATCCTTCTCCTAGAAAAGAAATCGATATAAATTAAACTGATAAAATATGCAAACAGATCCTTTTATAATCCTGTATGAGTACATACTTCTCGTTTTTCAGCTTCTTCTTCATCATCCTTAACGATAACAACATCTTCTTCCTGTTCAGATTTCTTATTCTCACTATTCTCGACTTTATCATCGTGTTTCGTTACAGCTTTCTCATCCTTTACATCAGATTTGTCTTTCTCTTTGTCTGCGTTTTCCGTTTCAGCATCTTTCTCTTCTTTTTTAGAGTCATCCTTTTCCTTGTCTTTCTCGGAACTTGGTTCCTCCTCCTCTTTAGAATTCTTCAAATCTTCCTTTGAGTCTTTTGCATCACCACTCTAAAATAAACAATAATTATTTATTAAATATATTTATGAGAAGTGATAACTTAAAGCATTTTCTCGTTAAGCAAATGAACGATACTTTCACGATAAAAAAAACTATCCAATATATACTATCCAAATACTAACCTCTTTATCCTTTGATTCATCCTTACATTCCTTAACTTCAGATGGATCAGAATTCGCTTTGTTAGTCTCGTTGCTTGTACCAGAAGTTGGAGTTGGTGTGGCAGCGGGGCTAGGGCTAGGAGCATTCGAAGTGGCTGGAGTAGCACTAGTGCTACTAGTACCTGTCGCTGCATCTCCAACTCCCTCTCCGACTTTGACAGGTTCTACTGGTTTACGTATCATCTCCGGCATTGAATAATAGCCATTGATGTGTTCAAATTCCTGTACCTATACCATATACATGGCATTTTTCGAATTATTATGAAATTGGAGACAATAACTCTATAAACGTTTTAGATGTGACAATTCCGATTGATGACCAGAGAATCATTTTTGATCTTTATAAAAAACCGACTTTCTCAAGGAGATACTTAAATTTTATTACAGTAATTCAATTGCGTTCATAAGTCTGAAAAACCAATTCGGCGCGCAATTCGAATGACTACAAACAGGGTGTCCGGAAAATCGAGATCAATACTTTAGAAAGTGATTTGGGATCCAAAAAGAAGGGGAAAAAAGCTATATAAACATAGGTCCGGAAATAAGTCGTTTCCGAGTTATAATCACTTTTATATTAAAAAAATTGTTATTTATTTTTCATAATCACAATCCTAATTTTTCTTACTTTACTAGAGAGATGCCAAGCGGACTATACCTCCACGTGGTGCATCCTGGTTAACGCCAAAATAGTCCGAAATGTAGTTACTTATGTTAAAACACTATGAAATAAATTACGATTGTAATTATGAAAAATAAATAACAATTTTTTTAACATAAAAGTGATTATAATTCGGAAACGACTTATTTCCAGACCTATGTTTATACAGCTTTTTTCCTACTTTTTGGATCCCGAATTACTTCCCAAAGTATTGACCTCGATTTTCCGGACACCCTGTATATATTTTAGTGTATCAGTCATTTTCATTTGAAATGTATCTGCCAAACTATCTACTTGCAATTTATATCTTTGTTAACGATAGCGATTTACTTGTTTCTTCCTTAGGTATGCGTTTAATTATTATTAATATTGTATAATTTATTTGCTTAAGAACTTGTATATTATTACAATATTGATTTTTATAATAGACATTAAAAAATTGTGAGTCAATCGAGGAGAGAATACAGTAAAATGGATACAAAACTCGTTCATACTAGCCACTAAAATTTGAAATTTATAAAACCATATTGACTAACACAAAGTATGTACACTGAAGACGACTCGATTTCAGTCGAAACGTTTGTAATTTTGATGTAAATGTGAAGAACATACGTAATGTTAATTGTAATGTTAAATTTATAGCACGATAATTCTGCTTAGCTCGTAGTTTTTTTAATTATTTCGTTTTCAAATTATTATATTGTTGTGATTTGTAACACTGGAGTAAAATAGTAACTTAACATATGACTCAATAACTGTACCTTCTTTCTAATCAAGGACATAACGCCGATTCTCGTTAATACATGCTGCCGACTGAGACCTTCTCGTGGAACACCATCAGCGAACGTTTCTGCATTGTCAGCACCTGGTTCGCAGAGGTGTCTCATGAAAAGAGAAACATAGGCTTTGAAATTCTTCTCGGATTTGCCACGCAGATCACGCACCAACCTAAAGTTTTAATAAAAGAATTTGAATAATATATAGTAAAAAAAACAAAATATTTTTATTTTGTTGCAAAGACATAATGCTAATACAGCATCAATAAATCATTCTTATTAAAAAAAATTGTAAAAGACAATAATAATCTTACAAAACGCCATTGACTTGCCATTGAGAGTTGAAAGCATCTTGAGGCGGCATTCCATAACGCATAATTGCATTGAGGAATGCTTTCCGTTGCCTAGCATTAAAACCTAGTACCTGTAAAAATATACATAGAAGTTAAGTACGCAAAAATATTATAGTAGAAACATAGAACTCTTATTTTGAGTAAAAATTTTGTTATAGTATTTTTTTAAATCGTAAGGTTTTTGAAAGTCAACAATTATTTCGACTATCTCGTTTGCTATTCATTTGTTTCTTTCTTGCCGGTTTTCTTTATTTTATTTGGAATTTTCGAAAGTATCAGTAAATGTACGTATGTATCATATATTTTCCTTAAACAAAAACCAACCTCGATATTTCCATTTACTCTGGCAAGTAGTGGCGGCAGAGGTCTGTCCTTTTCATCGCGTCTCTCCAATCTTCGTCTGCTTCTGCGAGATAATAAGTCTCCATCACCCTTCTCATCGAAGTCATCATCCTCCTTATCGTCATCGCTGGGCGCGCTAAAGTCACTATTATAATCCGACAGATTCTCCTGCCATGGTTGGTCATCTCTTGCGCCTTGATCGCCGGTTACACCACCATCCGTGTAATTAACTTGTTTTCGTACTCGTTTGCCTACGATTAATTGGATATGTATGAAGATACGTGTATGAATAGGATTTCAAATGTTTAACAGTTACTTTAACATATATCTGCATTTATATCAACGCAAACAAACCTTTTCCAAGTGTTCTAGCGATATCTTCCTGTTGCTGCTCGTAATGATGTCTAAGCAGCTTGATCCAATACGCTGGATCTGTATTCTCCGCTTCTTGTTTAATTATCTCTGTATCTGCTTCTTCTTCTGTTTCACCTTCCTTTGTTACGTATGAGGCAACCTTGAAGGAACTTAAGTACTCATTAGCCCAATTCTCCTTCTGCTCGATACCCTCTTTACTTCTGTCCAATAATTCGGCGACAGCCTTGTCATCGTAATGTATAGCTTCATCTTCCTTACCCTCTTCTTCCTTGAATAATTCCTCCGTACCTGGAAATAAATTTATCATTAAATTTATCATAATTATATTAAGATAAATGATTGCTTGAAAAGAATTGTTTGACAGCAATTAACTCAATAATCGGACTGTTTCATTATTAATTTATTGATTAATAGCGATTAAGGAAGCTTACCAAAACGTAAAATATCATCAAGCTCTTGTTTACTGAAATTGGCGCCTTTGCCGCCCATGCCAGGTCGCACAACCAAATGAGTGAGCATCATCTTGCGCTTAGCTACTTGTGTTACTCTTTCTTCCACAGAATTACGCGTAACGAATCGGTAGATCATAACTTTGTTGGCCTGGCCTATCCTATGAGCTCTGCTGAACGCTTGGATATCGTTGTGTGGATTCCAATCGGAATCGTAAATAATCACAGTATCTGCCGTTGCTAAGTTAATACCTAAACCACCAGCGCGCGTAGAAAGCAAGAAGACAAACTGTTGTGCACCTGTAAATGAATTTTTCGTTAAAAAGTAGAGATAAAAATATTTTATTTTCTATATTTCATTATAATTAGAATCGAAAGTAAAAATTAATCTAACTTATTTTAAAATTTTAATTAAAAAAATAGGAACAAAATAAAAAAAAAATAATCAATATATAAATTAATCTTGAAAATACTTGCCAGGGGCGTTAAATCTATCGATGGCTTCTTGACGTTGTGCACCCGTTATATTACCGTCTATTCTTTCGTATTTATATCCCTCACCCTCCAAATAATCTTCAAGGATATCTAACATCTTAGTCATTTGAGAGAATATAAGAACTCGATGTCCATCATCTCGCAGTTTCTTCAGCATTTTACTCAAGAGAACCAATTTGCCAGCTGCTTTAATTAGAGCCGATGTCTCGTAACTTCCGTTTGGTCCTGTCGGTGCTTCTTGTGATGCAGCAGGGAACAAGTATGGGTGATTGCAGCATTTCTTGAGATCCATCATTATATTTAACAATGATACTTGCTGACCACCTCCCTTCGGATTGAGAGCTTCAAAATTCCTTGTTAATATATATTTGTAATATTTTTTCTGCATCGGTGATAATTCGACACGGACAATAAATTCAGATTTGCTAGGCATGTTCTATAAAGAAATATAATTGTTATAACGCCAATGTAACATACTAATTAAAGAGTATGATTATGCGATTTGGATTGTAAAATTTCATATATTATAGTAACATAATCTATGCAGGTTACCAACCTTCAATACATCAGCTTTCAATCTCCGCAACATATGCGGGCCAAGCATTTCATGTAGCTTCTTAACTTGCTCTTCCTTTGAAATATCCGCGAATTCATTTTGGAACGCTGCTAAATCATTGAATTTGTCACGGCATAAGAAATTCAATAAATGGAACAATTCCTCCAAATTATTTTGTAATGGAGTACCAGTCAGCAAAAGTTTATATGCAATATTGTAAGAAGCTAGTAATCTAAAGAATTTCGATTGATTAGACTTCAATCTGTGAGCTTCATCCACGACTAAAACAGCCCAATCAATGGAGCCTAAACACGCCGAATCTATGGAGATGAGTTCATAACTTGTAAGCAAGACGTTAAATTTAATCGAAGACGATCGAATTTTAGAGGCGCGTCCGCTACGCACGGCACCTTCTTCAAATGACAATTCATTTTCACGAATCACGATACGGCTGTCTTTGTCACCTAAATAAAAACAAAAAAATATTTTACTGTTAATGTACATCTTCTAAATGCACGTCAAAAATTTTCATAAAATAGAAGACGATACCAACCCACATAAGTAACACAATAAAAGTCAGGTGCCCAAGTCTCGAATTCACGTTCCCAATTAATGATAGTGGACAAGGGAACGGAGACCAAAAAGGGCCCTTTACAGTGGCCTTCTTTGTACAAAGAATATAAGAATGTTATGGTTTGAATAGTTTTTCCCAAACCCATCTCATCGGCCAAAATCGTGTCTATGCCTTGGCCCCATGAGTATCTCAACCAATTTAGACCCTATAAATTAAGATTGTAGAAATGCAAATAGAGATTTTTGAAAGATTCCGCTCGCGAGAAAATAGAATTTAAATCTGTTCGAAACTTACCTCTAATTGATAATGATGCAATTGCATTCCGGTCTGATCCAAATACTCTGGCTGTCTTTCGTACTTCTTTTTGAGATCCGTTGTAGGTTTATCCGGCGGTGGTGTGTATCGTTTCGGAGTTCTTTCCTCGTCATCAATCAACTCGCGTGTTTTTGATTTTTTGCCTTTACCTAAATTGTATTTTATTTTTTTTACAAAAGCACTTTGCGCGAATAATGAATTAAGTCTCTCTCACCTTTTTTTCCTTTACGTGATGAACTAACATCGCAACAGTTGGCGGCTCTGAGATCTAGATAATATTCTATGGCTTGTTTCAAGCCAGGGATGTCCTCATGTTCATCTTCCCACGTTGCCTGGTCATAACCGAGTTCTCTCCACTTCACAAGATACGTAGCCCTGCCATCTCTTTGTAATCGATGATTGATCACCCTGTGAACCACCAGCCACTCTGGACGCACACCATAACGATAGAAACGTTCCTCCAAATTGTACTCGTCCCTGTTAGTAGCACCATCTTGTTCTTTCAAACGCTTCACGCGAGAATCACTTTCATCCAATGGTTCCTCCAACTTTGGTGGTTCATCCATATCATATTTACGATAATAATTCCTAATCACGCAACAATGTATCATATACAATATATATATATGTGTGTGTGTGTGTGTGTGTGTGTGTATAAAATGCGCGAATATTGCTGCAAAGATTTGTACCTGTACATAAGAGGATGAAAAACGTCAAGTTGTAATTCTGTTATCCAATCGCAATGCCAGTAAGACATATCGGCCCATTTAACAAAGAATTCACGCATTTTTCTTTGCTTAGGTGCAGCCTTGCTCGTGGATGGTTCCTCCGATGGAGTATCTGAGCACTCTTTACATCTCAAATTTAATATTTTTGCCACTAAAATAGAAATTTAATTACTAAGAGACTACATATTTATGTGTATTCTTAAATACCGTCTCTGCCTATAATACTACACAATACAATCAATATAAAATTACTAGAGAGACGTATCATACTTGTAATGACATACCTCTTCCTCTTAATGGTGGGCAAGAGCATCTAGGACATTTCCAATCGCCATCAGGAATCTCTGATAGAGGAGGATTCAAACAATGCGTGTGATACGCGCTCGTACAACTGTCACAACATAATAGTTCTCCGCCATCCTTGCACACTCTACAGAATTCCATATGTTCATCATCGTCTTCTGCTGCGCCTGATAGTACAAATATAACTGTAGTTGTCGCTTGCTGAATGATAAACAGAGAGTTTTAGAAAGGAATAAGGAGATTTAAGGCTGTGGTATGGGAGGACATGGGTACCTGCAATACCTTCTCCTTCGCAATGAGCACAACTCCATTTTCCTTCTGGTGTTTCCTCCATTTCGGGCTCTAAGCATACTAAATGGTATGCTCTGGGACATGTGTCGCACAATATAATCTCGCCGCCTTGTTGACATACTTCACAATAATCCTGGTGGTCAGTCTATAGAAAGCAAAAAGAAATTTGGAAAATAATTATTTTATTTTGATCAGGATAGAATAATTTATATAATAATGCAAGATGTATTAACAAAATTAAGATATGATGTATAATTAAGCATGTTAAGATGATTATGCGACTTTAAACATTGCAAAAGGAAGAAATTATAATTATTTTAAGGCAGAGTAAGTCAACGTAGCATATGCGTTCTTGAAGTTCTCTAAATATCCACTTGCACATACGTAATATATTTTTACCTTTAAGTTTTGCACATATTGAAAACGCGTTATGTTCCCTCTTAATTAAATTTAAAAATTTATCCCGTTAGCTATCAATCAATTATCAATTAGATAGCTCTATATCGGGAAGATTTATATGTAAATATTCAAATAGAAATTATTAAAAAAATGTCAGCTGCTGTGATAATATTAACAAGCATAATGATCAGACATGCGCCGACTAGCAAATTATAAATAAATTTCCAAGCTTTTAGTATGAGAATAACTATTATGTGACAGTCCATGATCGCAAGCACGTTTAAAACAACAATGAACGCATAAGCAGATGCTGCTTAACTCTACCTGGAGACCTTCCTCTCCATCCGGGAACTTGGAAGTTGTCTTTGTCTTCTTCTTTTTCTTAGTCTTGTTGCCGATTTTGGTTTTCGCCTTTCTACGAACCTTCAGCTGGAGGTTCTACTCCACTCTCTTCAACATTGCCTTTGTTACCTTCAGCACCCGGGGTTTCTTCCGCATCAGCTAACATTTGCTCGAACTCCATGTCCGAATCCGCCGCAGAACCAGCAGCACTACCTTCTGCTTCTTCATCCTAAATAATTTGATCAGCTTTAAATGAAAATCGAGTCTACCGAGAAATGTAATCAAATAAGACACAAAGTACATACCGAACTGCCTCGTTTACGTTTCCCAAGCTTAATCTTAAGCGTTGGTACTTTTGATGCCTTTTTCCCTTTTTTCGCTCTCGAGCCTCGCGATTTTCTTTTTCTGTCACTGTCCTCATCATCTTCCTCCTCATCTTCGGCTTCTTGCATAGCACCACTCCGATTAGTTCTAGCGTTTCTACTATCATCATCCACATTTGTGGATGACACATCTGCATCTGGTTGCGTATGTGGATTTAATTCAGAGAAATCACGCCACTTGGCTGCCACCAACATCATAAGTTTTGACATTGGAACCTAATTATACAAGAACAAAAATCATTTAAGTAAATATAATAAGAGCTATCGTATTTTACATAATGATAACAAAGTTATCAATACATAAAGATGCACGCACTTTTGGATTTTCTTTTGCTAAGAGCGGTCTGACATGTTGTTGAAATAGCTTGTATGTCGTTAAGTTTTGGAAATCAGCGTCGGAATATTCAATTTGTACATCTGTTAAACCAAATGTATTGCACACTTCTTCGATCGTGGGCATGCCTGTTGTAGGTTCTTGGCTCTGAGTGGTCGATGTATTATGGCTGGAAGATTTTCTTGACGATGATTTTCTGCTTTTCCTGTTGACTGCATAGTCGCTATCTTCACCAGCCGCATCACCACCCGCTTCACCCGCGCCACCGAAATCACTTTCCTAAAATTTTATGTAAAATATTAAGAATTAGCAGAAAATTATGGAGATTTTTGTCAAATACGAAATTCTTTACGAAATTACGACTAAAATACTGAAAATCCGAACGTAATTGATACTTATAGTCAGCAAAATTACTTGAAGACCGTATTATAGAACTCATTATGCAATATTATTTTTAGGAGATAAAATATAGTAAAATAATAAAGTACATATTTGCACTGCAAATGAAATGCAGAGAAGTTGGCTTATCACTTCTGTCAGTCCTTATTAAGTATGAGAGAGAGAGAGAGAGAGAGAGAGAGAGAGAGAAATGTATCATTCCAATTAAATTGTATAAAAATATCAAGCAAATATATATTATATAGTAACGTTTCCTTACATCTCCAGAATCAGATTTTTTCTTTTTCTTCTTTTTCTTTCCTTTTTTATCTTCGCTACGTGCTTTTCGTTTTTTTCCCTTCTTCTTTTTTCGTTCTTCTGGTTCATAATCATCATCTTCTTCCTGTAAAGAATAATTTTCATGTTTTAAACTTCTGGCTATTGAATACTAAAATATTCAGATCATCATCATCAAAACATCATTACAAAAATAAAAGATGAAAGTATATATACTTATGAATTATAAGGGTGATCAAACTCTGATTAACTTAAACAGCATTTTATTAATATGAATCAAACTATTAAATTAATCAGTAAAAAATGCATTGAAAAGATTTAATCTTAAGTGATTCTGCTAGTCAAATTAACAGCCGAGTTAAATTAATCACGGTTTGGTCCAAATCGCTCATAAGCATTATTAAACATCAAACTTATTAATAATGCTATAAAATGTAAAACTTGCTAGTCTTTGAGATTCTTCAGCGTCAGATGAACCATCTACTTGCTGGCCAACATTTGATACCTGTCCTCCAGTCTCGTCCATGTCATCCTCTCCTAAAAGACATGTTTATTTTTAAATTTATCGCTATAAAATCTCTTCTATCTTAGGCTCCTATTCTATAACTCTCAAGGACAATGTCAGTAATGTTGTATTGTTACTATGCAACTTTTTGTTGCTTTGCAACAAAAACCTATGCAATGACAATATAACATTGACATCGTTGTTAAGAATTATAGGCTTTCTACACAGTCAAATGTACGAAGAACAATCAACTATGACTGGTTTTCTTATAGCTTAAGACGTAAAGCTTAGGTAATGGCTTATTACAGAATAGAGGCTTTAGTAATTATAATACTGTTCTGAATCGTATTTGCATCTGTGCAAATCAATATTTTGCAAAGATAAAAAAGTCATTAAATTGGTTTTTTTTTCTAAGAGCAGCAATATAAAAATATGATAATGTAATTTGATGTTTTATTTCTTCTTTAATTAAAAATATCTGTATTTACTTTAATTCCACTGTGGCAAAATTTCTTTTCCACGAATGCAACAATTCTTTTCTACACATATTACCACACTTATTATACCTTATGAATCACGATCCAAATTCTTTAATCGAGCCGTAAATTTTCCAGCTAAGTTTCGAATAATATAATTTGAGAAATGGAATCAAATAGTACCGAAGTGAAACAACTCGATAAAATCTGAATTTCACTCGTGCCGTAAATTGTCAGCGAGGGAACCTCAGCTCGCAAAGGTACGCGGCAACGACCGAATCAATCGCGCTGCGCGACGCGGTGTCCTTAATTATGTATACACGGCGAACGCGGGCGAGAATCTGGCAAAGATATATCGACGTGAAGGTGAAAGAGAGACGAGGGCGGCGAACTGTGCGCGAGATTCACGATCCACGATCGGCGGCCGCGGCGACGACGACACCGGCACGAGACTCCACTTCCTCGCGAGTGCGGATGACGAATTTTAAACTAATCAACGTTCCGCGAGTGCCTCATCCGCGAGTGTACATCCGCCATTTTCTTTAATAGGGCTATATGTACGCTACATACATTTGACATACGGGCGCGCGTACGCCGCGCACACACGCGCATTCTTGCGCGTGTGTGCGCACGTATATGCGTTTCACACCACGCGTATTTACACGCGCGCGCACGCGACGTCGGCGCGCTTAATTTCTGCCGGCTTCGCGATTCTGCCGAAGGACGTGAAATTCGAACGCAAAATCCGTTCACTCGACTGAACCTTTACTGGGCCACCGCGACGGTGGAGGTTAGACGCCGGCTGTCGCGCGCGCGTGTATGTGTGTGTGTGTGTGTGTGTGTGTGGTGTGTATGTGTGTCCACCTGCGTGCGTGCACGCCGCACACAGCGACGCGACGCGTGTACGTGAAATACGGATCCATAACTTGGTTTTTTGTTCCTTCTTTCGCGCGGACGCGTCGTAACATGGCGCAAATGCAATTATGCCCTGTCGATTGGAAACCGTTTCGCGACGCCCGAGAGACGTCGAATTCGCGACGTCAATTCACACGAACGATGCGCGCCCGACGTTAACGAGCGTTTCTATCGCGAGATCGTGAAGATCGAACAGAGATAAGCTCCTAGTTGCTCGTCGGTCATTATCGCTTACCACGAGTGCACGGGCGCCGTGCAACCATGTTAGATTTGCAAATCAACGACCATGGCTGCGTTCGATTTTTGTAACTCCCAATGTAACTCATCTGTGAATATTATAATTATCATTACGCAAGCGCAACGACAAGCGTTCTCGGACGAGATACGCGACAAATTAGAAATCGAGCTCCGCGAATCGAAAAAAAAAAAAAAACAAATAAATGCGACGATTCGGAGCTAAAAAAAATATCTCTCGCTGTATTGTTGAAACATGCATCCCCCCCTTTCTCCTCTTCCCCAACGAAATTCTAATTCCTCTGTAATGAAAGGAATGCGCTGACAAGTAAAGCAGTAAACACGAGAGCGAGTTGATCGAGTTACTGAACGCCGGACACGTCCAGAGAAAGAGAGAAAGAGACGGAACGCACACCATGTGCACGCTCTCCTGTCGATGTCACTTGCCACCGTCATCTTTCTCCTTGGCGGAAAGATCTCCACCGGCGTTGGGAGCGTTTTGACAATCGTCTTGACGATCGAGATGGAAAACGAGGACTCCAGGGAAACCTGGGGAAACCGGCATGGCATCGGAGTGATTGATACGGCAGCCATTGATGGGACCAAAAAGCGCGCGTCCCGCGAGCGCCGTACGTATATAAGTACACCAAACGGCTCGTGCGATCACCCTGGTGCCATTCTCGCGCGCGTAGTCTCTCTCTCTCTCTCTCTCTCTCGCTCGCATCGTACAACTCTCTGGTACTCTCACCCGCGTAGTTTTCGTCAATCTCCTCGTCCGACGCCATACTCCAGCGAGTCCGCTTCTCGGCACCGAGGACGACGATGACAACGACGACGAGACACGACAATCACGATGACGATGAGAACTACGAGAAGACGACGCTTCGGGACTTCGCCGACGACGTTTATCCTCCTCGTATTCTCTACCTTCACGTCCGTTCACTGCTGTTCACCACCGTGTTTTTCTCACGGGCGCGTAAAAACGCCGCGGAAATGCAACATCAACGCCGTTCCACGGTAACGCTCCTTCGCTCCGTGCGGCCTGACTCCGGCGGCGTGTTGGCGGCGTGCCGTCGTGCCGTCACTCGGGACGCTCGGTATATACCCTACGACCTACGACGAACAACGGCGAACGCTACTCTTTCGCCACCGTCTTACAGTCGCCGGCGCGATTCGTCGTTTCCCCTCGTTCCTATTCCATTCTATTCCCACCTCTTCCCGCCGTCGTTCCCCTCGAGCCTCGACTCCTTTCTCTCTCCTTTTTTCTCCTCCGTCCCCCAGTTTGCCAGTCAGAAAGTGAAGCGATGCCATTTCGCAGACGCTTACAGCGCGTTATAATACGCAGAGAGGGTAAAGGGGGAGAACCTGCCAAGCGCCCCGCATTGCGCGTGCCATTCAACCGCCGTACTCAAGCGGCGAGATTTACCGACGATCATCCCCACCTGTCCCCCCTCCATTCGACGTAGCGTGCCGTAAACGTCTGCAAAGTGGCAAAATGGCAATGCCATTATGGCATCACCGCGGAGCGCGGCCGAAACTCACGAAACCGTCTGTCGGATTCGCACGCGAGCAGCGAGCTGGCGTCTCTCTTTTAACAAAGCACAGTTTCTTCTCCGTCCTTCCTTTCCCTCTCTCTCTCTTCCTTTCCTTAATCTTTTCTATCTTTCTACCTGCCCATTATATACTGCCACGTCAGATCGTTTTTGCGTTCTCTGTATCTTTTATATGATCACCGAATAATTTATCGAGTTTTTGCCGTTTCTTTCTCAAAATATTCTTTGAGAAGCCGCACGAAATTGCGTTAAATCAATTAAATTAACGCGATGTTCAGGATGCATCCGTTTTAGCGTTCTCTCTCTTTTCTATGTTCTATAAGATCGAATCAATTTATTTGTAATTCGAAGCAAAATTTTTACCCATCACGAATCATTAGATTAATGACGTCAGAAGTGAGAAAAAAAAACAATGAATATTTTTGCGAAATATTAGGTTTGTTCGCATTACTTGCAATTTTTGTGTACTTAGGGCCACTTTTACCAACTCCGATTAACTTAATCGACTGATTAGGGACTGATAGTCCATTGGAATTCGCCAATCGCTATCTGTTGTCAAAAAAATTATAAATGCGATTGGTCAATTCCAATGGACTAATGGGCCGATTAAATTAATCGGAGTTGGTAAAAGTGGCCCTAAGGCCCGTTTCTACCAACATAGATTAACTTTAATCTTGGTTCAATTTACTCTTCATCTTTTTCTAATTTCTAGAAGTAGAAAGAGATGAAGAGTTAGTTAAACCAAGATTAAAGTTAATCTACATTGGTAGAAACGGGCCTAAGTACACAAAAATTGCAAGTAATGCGAACAAACCTAATATTTCGCAAGAATATATATATATTCATTGTTTTTTTTTCTCACTTCTGACGTCATTAATCTAATGATTCGTGATGGGTAAAAATTCTCCTTGGGCCCTTCCCAAGGAGAACAAGAAAATCAAAATAATATCGATTTGACGTCATATTGACGAATTTATGTCATTTTTCGGTCATGATAAAAATTTCGATCTCAGACGACTAAGAATGACTTTATATATAAATGACTTCATATGTATCAGGGTGATCCGAAATTCCCGCATTCGAAGTATAAAGTCATTCTTGGATCATCTGAGATCGAGATTTTTATCATGACCAAAAAATGACACAAATTCGACAATATGACATCAAATTGACATTATTCTGATTTTATTCTGTTCTCAGGGTTGGTCTTCGCTAATTTTTCTCATTTCAACGTCCCAGTCTACATTCCAAAACGTCCTCTCCGAGAAAAATTTCAGTCGATATAATACAGCATATATTACGTGTGCATACATATATTTCGAGTAAAATTTTATTTTTTTAGAAATTTCAAGCAACGCGAATAAATCTATTAAAATAAAAATTTTTATTTTATTTTATTTTTCAAAAATCGTAGGGACCTGCAGATGACTTCTTTTTATTGCGAATATTCGCAATTACATTGCAATTTTAGTAGTAATACACTAATTACTAATTTCCTTTTGTGTTAGCTGCATTGTTTAGGGACGGCTGCGTTCAGTAGAGAAAGCAGCTTTGCAACTTTGTAAAATTCTTCAATACCATTGGTTTATACATTTGGATCCATGAGGATCCAAAAGCAAGAACCAATGGTATTGAAGAATTTTACGACGGTTGCAAAGCTGCTTGCTCTGCCCTCTGCTGAACGCAGCCAACGTCACATTGGCAGCACTGCTCCTTCTAGGGAAAACAAGGCGGACAACCTAATTAGCACTAGTTTGGCGTTATTTTCAATCGTAGAGGGCGTAATCGAGCAATTCGTCAGCATACGGCGTATTCACGAGGACCTTTTGCCGCGGATATAGACAAATCTTTCGTAAAATGGTAAATAAATTGTATTACTAACTAAACCGACGTCACTCGGTAACTTGATTTCGCGAACGAAACGCCACACCTACATTATTCGACAATCGTGCATAAATTCACGATCTCGTTCGCAGAAACCGGTGTTTTTGTCGTTAACGTTAAGGTTATCTTTCCTTCGAAAGCTTCTGTTTGTTAGATTCATTCGCACGATTGCGAGATGTTACACAATTATTAGGGTGATTCGCGATGACTCACAGAATTTTCTTTGTTCGCGAAAATGTATTAACTGCATTTATGACTATTCGATGCATCGCATTGTCGGTGAAACCTCTATGTCGAACAACGCACGTTTCCTCAATAAAACTTATTGTTCAGCGTGATTGTCGAATAACATCTAAATGCTAACAAAAAAGATTTCACACGTACTCGATTGTCAATAAAATCACTCAAAGAACGAATTGTAATTGATTCAACAGTTGCAGAACGTTGCATCATGTAGAGTGAGTTTAAAAGGAGCTTCGAGATTGGTGCGATCAACAAGAAGCTTAAGAGATGGCTCAAGGGAACGTGTACTGTCGCCTATGCTTCCGTCGACATCGACGGAATTGCTCAATTCACAAATGCAGTCGGTAAGTTCCTGCTATGCAAATAAGTTATACCTATGATAAGCAATGATGATTTTGCAGCTTCGACTGTATTCGAATTCCGCACGACGACCAAGCTTTCTGTCTCAATTGGTCGAGAATATCAAGCAGGAAATGCAGAAAAACAAAGAGATGAAGGAATCATTAAAAAAGTTCAGAGAAGAAGCTCAGAAACTGGAGCAATCAGAAGCGTTACGAACAGCACGACAAAAATTCCAAGCTGTTGAATCTGAGGCCAGCAGAAGTTCAGAGGTGATTAAAGAAAAGCTGGATACGATTAAAGGAAAGGTACATATCTACGATATTAACTAATGTACAATAATAATGTTACGCATGCGTGACTATGCAAGTTTATGTTTAAAAGATGCAAGAAGTTATCGAGGAGGCGAGTAAGACTGAATTAGGAAAACGTGCCGGCCAGTTGGGCGAAGAGATAACGAAATCGGCCAAAGGAGCAGCGGAAACGATTTCCGAAAAGCGCCAAGCACTTGGTAAGACAGGTGCATTTCAAACTATATCACACACCGCAGAGGCCGTACGGAATGAACTTGACCAACATGGAATTCTAGGTAGATAGATTTGGCTGAATAGACAGAGAGTAGAAAGCAGGTTAAATTTCATTATTGCTTGATGCAGGCAAAGTTTACGTTCCGCCTAAAAAGCTAAGAAAGAGGAACGAAATACCAATAGAACCTAGAGAAATTATGCCTGATCAAAAAACAACAGGTGTGGAAATGCATAAGGATTACATGTTTTCCAATGCTTGGGAAAATTTTAAGGTACCTATTACACAATGTCTTGTCATAAATTTCATACAATGTACAAATGAGCATTAACAAATGCCTCTATTTAACGATATCGAATGTTTTTTTAAAGGATAATAATCCATACGTAAATAAGGTAATGGACTGGAAGACGAAATTCGACGAGTCAGATAATGCTGTACTACGCGCTTCCAGATTGCTAACGGACAAGGTTTCGGACATTATAGGTGGGCTGTTTCAAAAGACCGAGCTATCGGAAACACTTACAGAGATCTGCAAGCTGGATCCCACTTTTAGTAAAATACAGTTCTTAAAGGACTGCGAGACTGACTTCATCCCGAATATTCTCGAGGCGATGATTAGAGGCGACCTCGAGATTCTGAAAGACTGGTGTCACGAAGGACCGTACAACATAATCTCGCAACCACATAGGGAAGTTAAGAAATTAGGCCATTATTCGGATAGTAAAATTTTAGGTACGTATTTACATATAATGTTCATCATTTATACGATACTTTGAAATCGTGAAAAGTAAAAGAAGGAATATCAATTACAGATATTGACAATGTAGATCTAGTGATGGGCAAGATGATGGAACAGGGACCGGTTTTAATAATTAGCTTTCAATCTCAACAAATCATGTGCGTAAAAAACTCGAAGAACGAAGTGATTGAGGGAGATCCCCAGAAAGTTATGCGTGTAAACTACGTTTGGGTACTGTGTCGCGATCGAACGGAACTTAATTCCAAGGCTGCGTGGCGTTTACTAGATCTCAGTGCCACCAGTTCGGAGCAATTGGTATAGCGTGAACGAACTTTTCGTGTACATTACCGTTATTATTCATATTATAGTAAAAATATGTGATCGAACATGTCAAGAATTCTTTAACAATCGTATTAAACGATTACCGATCTAGCATACATCTAGTACACAATGTATCTCCTGTAAATTGGAATGTTTATGTATGTACACAAAATTTTAGCAATGCAATATCTGTAAATTTTAATTGTATTTGATCTAAGTATATATACGTGCTAAGTTATTTACAAGATAATATATTTGTAAATGTCATTTGAAATCATATGGTGCAATACATTTTGCCATCATATACAGCTTGTAATTATTAAAAAATAGATCATAATTAATATCCATTTATCTTGCACTTAACGGAAGCATGATTATTACTATATTTAACTACGTTTTACCAATTATATAGTGTTATATACTTTAACAAAATTTTCGTACTATCCTATATTTAACTTTGAAAAAAAATTTGTTGATTATAATTTATATTGACAAATATTAAAATATCAATTTTTATACAATATTTACATTGTCAACTATATAACAAGAACAAGCTAATTTTTATATAATAAACAGAAAAAAATAGATTGTGCTTTATTGACGAAATAACTAAAATCTTATTCTTTTTGTAATACACACACACACACACTAAAATCAATAACATCAAGAATAATTACAGATATTGCAGTTAAAAAGTTTTCCACAAAAACTAAAAATGTTTTCATCATATTTAAAATATATTATTGTAATTGTGTACAACACGAGATGGATATGAGAATCTATTAGTTTGAATATATTCACAAATACATCTGTAATAAAACTATATATACGAATGTACATATGTATACATGTACAAGCTATTAACGAATGAGTATAGCATACGATTAAATTATAAAGAGAGCTGTTGATTATTTTTTAAAGAGTATTATAAGAGTTCGGTTTGGATTGAGACGGAATAAAATGATATCCTACGAACAAACGATTATAGTATTATTTTTTCTATTTAAAATAAAATCATGCATGTAGATAGAAGAGGAATACCTCATAAAAATTACATATATAAACTACGTTTTTTATTCATATTCTTCATAACATTATACTGTGTTGTAATTTTTATATAAATATACAAGCGAGTCACAATATTATATAAATTTTTTTCAACCGAAATACTCTAATCAATGTATCACGTTCATATTTGCTTCGATTTGAGTTTACTCGCAAATGCAGGACTTTGCGGATCGGTCAGCTTTTTTGTCGCTTTAAGAATAAATGGCACTTTGTACATTGGCATCGGTCTCGCTTTCATCTCCGTTAACTTGCGGAGTTCTGTTTTCATTAATTTCTCAGATTCGAATCTTTTCTTTTCTGCTTCCTGACGCTTTGTCTCCTCTTCCATTTCCTTGCGCCTTATCTTCTCGTTAAACTCGCATCGTTCTTTCGCCCGTTTATCAGTGTTTAATTTTAGCGGATAGGCTTTCAATGGTGCTTTCTGTTTATCAACAGTGCAAACTGTGTTCTTCGCTTTCTCTATATTCGTTCTCTTTGCCTTTAAAGAATCAATATTCGGCTCTTTGTTTTCCTGATCTTCCACTTGCTCGCTTACGATCTTCACACTCTTGTTCTTCATTGAAAGATTCTCTTTGGATCTACCACGAACCATTACGGGTTTGAAGACTGGTACTGGATTCGCGCGGAATACACGCGCTTGCTTATCCTTTTCGAGCAGTTGTTTCACCAAATGCTCCTTTTTTTCAGACACTTTCTTGTCCCGATTATCAAAGCTGAATGGACAAGGTAAGATCGATTTCTTTGATCTATTCTGCTGCTGCTGCTGTTTGGCCGGTGGTGTTGGTGGCTTCGAGAAATTTGGCACTGGTCTGGCATGGAATTCAGTCTTTGTTTTACCGGCTTCTTGCAGATCCTTCAGCCGTTGCTCCTTTTTTATCTGTAGATCCTTATTGCGCGCCTCGAAGCTAAACGGTACGATGCGTGTCACATTTTTCGTTATACTGATGTCTTTTGGTACTCCAAAGAATGTTATCTCCTCGTGTTCTACAACAAGACCTGAGGGATCGGTCACCAGCAACTTCGTGACATTCTTCGGACCGTATGACGCTTTATCGCGATGTGACAATGGACTTTTGTTGAGTTGAGACAAGTTTGCAGCATGAATTTTCCCATTGGATTCAGACATAGAATTATGCGCGGCTGCCGTCGATTTCTTTATTACTCGTGAGCCACGCAGTACATTAGGTGGTATCGGATTGGCTTTTATCTGATGTTTCTTCATCTCTTCCATTTCCAATTTCTCGCGCTCTTCTCGGCTCAGCACAGTAACAGGACGCGACCTGTTCTTCGATATGAGCGCTGGTGAAATCGGTATCGTTGGTTTTAAACGGTTCTGCATCGTCTTTGACAGTGGCATACTAGTATTATTCACCTTATTGCTTCTGGTGTGGAAACGCTTGGGCGTCTCGTTTTGGAAGCGTGATACTGCTTCCGCTAGGCTGACGTATTTCTTGTTGACTGACGTTCTACGTTTCTGTAAGCTTCGTCTATGATTGTACCAGGTAAGAACTGAATGTTTATTCGAAGAATGTGTTCGATTGCCTAACTCGATCGTAGCGTCCACATAATCTTGACTGTCCTCTCCCTTGGTTTTCTTCTTGTCAGACGATTCTTTTGATTCATCTTGCTGCTCTTTGTCATCTTCCTCGTTGTGTTCCTTATTGTCTGCCTCGTTACATTTTTCAATATTTTTTTCATGTTTTTCATTATATTCCTTATTGTCTTCCTCCTTGCCTTGTTTGTCTTCCTTATCTTTAGAATTTTCTACTAGATCATTCTCAGTGTGATTTTCAGGCTTAAACACGGCATGACTAACCGATGTTCCTTTTGCATTTTCAGACATGTCAGTGCCTAAAATACAGATATTTTTAACCACTTTTGTTTGAATGTATTTATTCGATACACTACGACAGGCGATTTTAGATGATTTAATGGTTTTAGGCACATTTGGTGTTATAAAAATAGTCGACTCCTGGGTAGTTTTATTCAGTGCTTCTCGAGTTTTTTTAAGTGGCTTTTTACAGAGCTCCAGTTGCCTCATCGCGTCGCTGAGTACTTGATCATAAGTAGTCTCTTCTAGTTCCTCATTGTTACCATGTTTCGGGGAAGCTATTTTGATAGGAGTACTCTTTATAATTTCTAAGTCTGCTTGCACCTCTGTGCTAGCACATATGACATTTGTGTTAGACGTGAACCGAATATTCTCCATATTCTCAGAAGTAGAGTCACAAAGATCCTCTATACGTTCGTGAATTGAGTGTGATTTTTCGAAGAAATCCTGCGTCCTCATTGGACTATGAGTTTCAGTAAAATCTATCCATTGTGGTGCTTGCAGATCAAGGTCCTCCATTGTGTCAATCAGTAAGATATATATAGCGTGTACGCAAAATATGCTGGTATCAAGTCATAAAGAGAAAAATAATCACTATAAGTCAAAATATAAATGCCATCCAACAGTAGCTAATAATAATCTGCAACACAAAAATTTGAATTCTTAAATCATTTTAAAGATATATCTACAATAGTATTGTATAAATAATAAATAATAATTAAGTAACAAAAAATCTATTTTGACGGATAACTAACGTATCCTTTTTTACGTATCTCTTATTTCTTTTATTTCTAAATTATAACCATATTTGCATTCCAATCATTCTTAGGCTAGCAAAATTGATGTAACAATATGACAAGTACATGCAAATAAAATGTTATTGTTAGAGAAATATAATTATATGTACCAAAATATAAGACATTATTTTTAGACACTTCAATTCACTTCTCAATCTCTTATCATTTACATAGATAAAGTTTTAAATTGTATTAGTCTAAGGAGCACAAGAGTAATCTCAAAGCTAATGGCATTTAAAGACATTTCTCCATATATCAAAAAGAGATTGTTGATTAAATGTCATTTCTAACTCGTCATCAATATTAAATCTGAGAAATTCCTTATACAAAGACATCAAAAGTAACAAAATTAAAAATCTCGTGTAACATGATGTTTTATATTATGTCCTTTATAAAGAATTTCTATTAGAAATAGTTTTATTTTGATAGCAAGAGAAATACTTATGCAACTGAATAGTTTTCTATATTATTTTCATTTTAATGAATTAACAATTAAGTCTCGCAGATCCAACACACTGTTGTTGTAGAATCAAAATAAAGGCCAGTACTACGTACTTACATGTAACTATTTATGTCAGTTATTTACGTCTCTTGTTTATTTCTCACACAAGAGAACTCGTGTATCTAAAACTTCTTCTCCCTGCGATCTCTGACCTTACTTTTAGCTCGTACACTCGATATTCAATTGAACTTTTAAAGGCGGGACAGAGCGAAATACCAGAGAACGTTCCTCGAGAACAGCCAACGACGAAATCAAACGTACGTTTCACTCGTTCAAGTTTGAATCTTTCCATGCTTCGTCCGGATTGGCTGCGTTGTTGCTAGCCGGGTCCGAAGTTTCGCGCATGCGCATCGAACGAAACATCTAACTCGCAAGTAAAAAAAAAATTAATACCTATGAAGATTAACTTTCTTTCTGACAGTTTCTAAAAATTATGTAAAAATTCACTCGCGAATTGCAGTAATGGATTATATTATTTTGTTCTCATCTGCGTCTTCTAAATCGGATGCAGTGTGAATCCAGCATTTGCTTCCGTGATATCGCACATGCGAAATTTTTCGTTATCGCAAGACGCATGCACGAAAAAACCCCCAGATCGCAGTTCGTTCCGATTGGCTGACAAATGGCATGCGTTTTCATGAAGGGGAAACATAAAGCTCAAAAATTCCTACCTCGCCTACAAATTCCCGCTATGGGAATTTCAAATTCTACTTTCCACAAAACTCCAAAAAAATTAGTAGTAAAATTATTGTAAACGTGAATCATGAAAATTAATAATTTCTAATAGAGAATTTTGAATTATGTAATTTATAATTTTATCGCAATTTTTTTCGTAGTGAAAATTCGAAGTCATTATTGATAAAAATTGCAGCTATTTTATATGAAAATATGATTTATTTGATAAATAAGATATTGTTATCATTGGTTTAAAAATATTCGTGCCTAACTATACGGGAATATTATCATTTTGCTATTATTTTGGTCAGTGCAAAAAAGTTTCGTCTCTTTAGTTCTCAGCCAATTGCATCAATAGTCTCGAGATTCGCTGTGATAAAAACTTCTTAATCAAAACATTTCGTATTACATCTAATAAGTTTACTACATAAATACAATCTTAATCAGAAGATCTCTAAACAGAGAGAAAGAAAAAAATTAAATAAAATAAATATTCAGATAGTTCGTTATATCGACTGATGACACAATTGGCTATATTTTCTTATATTAATACAACTATTGTTTTATGAAAATTGATCAAATTCCAATGACTCTTCTTTCTGCTGCTCCAATTCTTTTACAGCTCTTTCTAAGGCAAACAGATGTTCGTCTTGTACGCCAGGGGCTATCGTGCGCATCGCGGATGCCAGTTTATAAAGATATTCTATATTAGATCCACTGATGCCACGTGAAACAATTATGTGTCTCGCAATGGTATCTACGTTCTCCATACCAGCGAAATTTGGATTATCTTCTTCACCTATATAAATAGTAAGGTAGAATGGAGCTTCATCCAATGTAGTTGAAAGTGATGCCGTTGAAAAGGTCATCCTCGAGAGATCATTCAAAGACACATTGGCATTTGAACCACTTTGGGTAGACTTGGAAAAATCACAGGGATAAAAGAGGACGGTTTTTTTTATATAGCCACCTTTCTCCCGGAAATCCAAATGATTGACTACATTTTCTATATTCTCAGAAGATATCTTGTATGCGAGTCCCCATACTTGGTCGTCGGGATTACTAGAGGCGAGCAACGTCACTACACGTCCAGGCTGCAAAAAGAAGATCAAGTATAGTTGATGCGAGAGAAAGCAATTGCATCTTGCCTACCCTATTGGGCACGCCTCTATGATCGGTACTCTTTTGATAAAAACGCCTGATGTATCCCTTGATATAGCCGACGAGCTTTTTCTCATATGGAAAATCTGCTTTCCATATTAAAGAACCATAACCAAATACCCACATGCTCGGCATGCTCGCTCGCTCGCGACGTCGGCCGAAAGATTTCTTTTTATCGTCGGCAACAATGACAATCACGTCATGCAATGTAAACTTTGCCTAATCTCTCGAATGACGAGTTCGTCTTTTAATCCCGTGACATAACTTGCAGACGATTCCACTTCAAAATTATGCTCCATGTTACATCCAACGCGTCTGTTACGCCCTGCAACATAACCTGTTTATCTGTTTCGAGTACACGTGACAAGCGAGTCCCGATTGCCACGTCGCTAATTGGCCAATTTAATACAAAATTTTCCGATTGGTTGGTCCAGTGGAAAAACTTCAAGCACAGAACTCCTCCCACACAGAATGACATGTGCACGAAAATGCAAGGCGTGCAAGGAGGATTAGCACGAACAATTGTGATAACGATTGTAGCACCTCAATACATTTATATTGATGATAATGAATGTAATTTACTATAAATGAAATGGCATCGTTATTGTTACGCACAGAGATCCTCGCTATTCGATGCGTAGGAAATATCGTACTTGTAGGTTAGTTACGAGTTAGTTAATATAATTACAATAATCACAGTTTATGTAATATTAATTTAATATAAATAATTTTGTAAGAATTTTTTGTATTAATATTATATAAATAATTTTTTTCGAAGTTAACAAAAACCTTGAGGGTTAATAATTAATGCTTCGTACATAGATAAATTTCATCAAGTTATAAATTCTTCCAACTTTATAGAACGCTTGTTTATTATCGCAGGTATGGGATCTACTCTCTATGTATTCAGGGATTGCAAATTTGAGTGCAAATTGGATTGTCTGTATCCAAGTAATATACATGGCATTGTAGTAGGAGAGGATAACATATTAGCTGTATTTGGTGCCAAGTCTATATGTATTTGCAAATTTGTTGAAATAGGACACAACATAAGGTAACATAATTTTATGTACATGATATAGCAAAGCCAAATACCAATATGATCTATAGATAAAATTTAAAAAATTATTATATAAGATATAGATTTATATAGGGACTGTGATCCATGTTTATATAACTGTTTTTTCTTATTTTTACTCAGAGCATATTAGAACAATTTTACTTTTAAAACCTGGAATATTCTGTATATGATGTACAATAATTTTTTTTGTATGTGTGTATAGAATTACAAAACAAAGTACTGATCAGTTCAATGATTGGATAATTGCTGCAAAGTGGATATCATTTAAGGAAGAAATACGATTGGCAATTCTATTTGCCCATAATTATATATCTATATATGATATATTTAATAAAACTTGTCAAATTATACGCTGTGAAAAAACATGCATTCTGTATCCTTTCATGGTTTTTGTTAATTAATTTCTTGCAGAGATAATTGACATAAAAAATGTAATAATTTTCTTAATTAATATCTAGCTATGGTGGTTCTATATCAGGAAGTTCTCAAGAGAATTTAGTTATTTTCAGTGGAACTGTATTTCAAGAAATTTTAATATGGAAAGTAGACAATAGATATAATGACATTAATAAAAGAATGCCGGTTTTGCATCGTTTAACAGGACACAAGGTTTGATAATTATATTTAATTTAAAAAAATAAAATTTTTGAAAATAAAAATCTCACCTTGTAAATTTATTCTAGGGTGTTATTTTCTCTGTTATTTGTGATCTGTCTTCGCGATTTATTTGTTCTACATCTGATGATAGAAGTGTCAGATTCTGGAAAGTAACAGAAGATGAAAATTCCAAAAACAATATAAACTGGCAGACAGTAAAAATAGAGCCAATAAAAGCAATGTTTATGCATACAGCAAGAGTTTGGAAAGCTTTAATTAGAAATGACATTGTTTTAACAATAGGAGAAGTAAGATTTCTATTGTACCTGTATGTGAAAGAGAGTTACAATTTATTTTTATGTATATTTTTAAAAATTTTCTACTGTTTCAGGATTCACTTATATGTACATGGTCGCTCTCAGGTAATTTACTTAATAAAGCTTACTATAAAGCTCCAATATGGAGTATTGATGTATCTGAAGACAATATAGTATATGTGGGTGGAGGTGATGGATCTGTACATATGCAACCTTTTGAACATTATAAAAGTCTAGAAACAATTTTTCTACCTGATGGTAATGATATATGTAATTTTCCTAAATACGTTTCCTATTTGCACGATGGCACAATTTTAGTCTTTACTGAATTGGGGACACTTTTACATTACAACAAAGAAATGATGCTTAAAAATACTATATACTTAACAAAAGAACACTACTATATCATGCAAGTTTCTCCAAACCGCAACTTTGTTGCCCTTGCATCTAGAGACGGATATGCAATAGTGTTCGAAGGTAAGAATGTTTATTATAATAAAAATCTTAATGTCAACACATAAAAATGATGTTTATTATAAATATATTATCTTTTTCATTCTCAAGTTTTTAATTAATAAAATTAAATAATTGATGATGTATTTTTAGAGTATCTTGGGACTTTACGACAGTTTACAGAGAAAAGCAAAATAATGGATTCACAAATCTTTTCTTTGCAATGGTTGAATAATTCCGACTTGATAGCATGTGGGGCAAATGGTCTTTTGAAATTATTGAGTGGTATGTAATCATTTATACAATTATATCATAAATATCATAATATATTTTGGAACATATATAACATTATGATTATATGTAGGTAATCTTACAGTGCACGCAGAGTGCGTATTACCACCCAGTCGAGAACGTTGGTTAACTGCAGCTATAATCTATAAAGATGTTAATTCTCCTGTGAAATACGGAACATCATATAATTTGTTAATATGTGGGGATAGAGCTGGGAATATTTATGTATACGATCTGAAATATATATATTTTGACACAGTTATTAATACAGATATTAGTAGAAAACCTATTCAAACACTTGATAGAATTCATGGTAAAATAGGAGTCCAATCGTTTTGTATATTTGGAGAAAACTTGATAACATCTGGACGTGATGGGATGTTGAGATTTTATCAAATACATTTAATAAAGGACTCTTTTATGTACACGAAGCCCTTGGTAATGCTACATAAAAAAAAGATGCCAATGGACTGGATTAGTGGCATGTTAAAAGTGAATATGAAAAGTGTAGAAGAGATGGAAAAAAATGAGATTCTTTTTGTATTTGGTTTTAAACAGGTATAAATCGAAAATTTTATACATATAAATATATATACATACAATAATAGGAAATCTTGTATAATAATACATTATATCTCTTATAATAACATTTTCAGGTGGAATTTATAATATATAACTTGTTGAACGAAAACGTAGTCGTCAGAATTCCTTGCGGTGGCGGTCATAGATCGTGGGACTGTGTAATATCACACACAAAAGCCAGTTTTGCTTACATAAAAAATAAACAGGTCCATGTATGTGATATGACTTCTTCTCTTTTTCTTTCACATCCTGTTTTACAGGTAAGTGATCTTGATTTATTAAAAAGAAAATAATTGAGTATACAAACCTTTCTATATTTATTGTTTTTTATATCCAGAATGGATTTCACATAAAAGAGACATGTTGCTTGCGATACATTTCGATTAAGCAGTCAGATCATTATCGAGAAAATATTTTCATATCCGGTAGTGAAGACTGCACTCTTCGTATCAGCAGTATTTTTGAATACGATTTCCAATGGAACGTTTTCAAAAATTTAGGAACTTTTAATGGCCATCTTTCGGGTATTAGATGCCTAAGTGTTATTGAATTAAACATGTTACATGAATCTGAGTTTCAATATCTAGTCTTTTCTGGTGGAGGAAGAGCACAATTAAAGATTTGGAAATTAAATTTCAACTTCCAAAGTGTTGACCCAAAAAGTCCACATTCATTAAAGAAACTAAATATGTCGTGTTTTGATGTGAATTCTCATATGCTCTATAAACAAAATCAATATTGTAAAAAACCATGGCAGGAAACTAAGCAATCCTGTATCGAAGAACCAGAAACGCGTTATATGGATATTTATACCTATTACCCTAAATTGAATTATGTGTTAGTCTTTATAGCTTGTGCAGACGGATATTTAAGGTAATTTAATTGTTTATTTCATCAAGAATGATATGTTATTTTATGAGAGAGTTATGAAATAATATTCCTTTTTTTCTATTGCAGACTACTTGTATATGATATTGTAACTAACAACATATATTTAAAAGTATCTACTAAATATATAGATCGTTGCATTTTGAAGATACACGTATTATTATACAAATCCAAAGTAATTGTATTAACAATGAATACAGACGGAAAATTACGTTTTTTCGATTTTACCGACATGATCTCGAAAATACACGAGGATGCAAATTCTGGAAACCAGAATATTTTGAATTTCGACGATATCCCTTTCGCAGAATTTAGCTTGCATCAGTCAGGAATTAATTGTTTTGATTTAAAGGATATGAATGAGAATGAATATCTTTTGGTTACCGGTGGCGATGACAATCTTGTCAATGTCACCTATTTTAAAATTGACATATCAGAAAATAAACTATCAGCTGAAATATTATCTAAATGGAATACAGCGTCCGCACATTCCACACAAATCGTTGGTAAATTAATGCATATATGACATTTTTTAAGCTAAAGCTATATGTATTGTAAATTCTACACAAGTCTCAAGAAATTTATAAAAGTGTACAATACCAACAGGTGTGAAATTGAAAGGCAACAAAATATGTAGCGTGGGAATAGATCAGCAAGTTATTACCTACAATTATTCATGTTCCAATGGAGTCGTACACGTAGATATCTTAAATCAAGTATTCACATCTGTTACGGATGTGCAAGGCATGGAATTATATAGTTGTCCCAAGTAAGTTTAAAAATGTATTAAATGTTATAATTATGTCCTCTTTATTTCACTATTCTTACAAATGCTAATGTTAACAGCCATGACAAAAGCTGGAGCGATTTTATTTGTATATATGGACGAGGATTTGAAATACTGTCCATTTAAAATTTCACACAAAATATTTATGTAAAAAATATTTTCTACCGAAGTGTCTTGTATGTATGATATATATATATTTATCTATTTGTAATACTCAGTATTATGTAAATATAAATTAAATCATTACACATTTAAATATGTGTAAAAACAATCGATTATTTGCCATACCTTTCTTATCTAGCTAGCGAAAGTATTTTTGCCATTTAAAAAAAAAAATCAAGTTATACAAAGTATGTTTAAATAAAACGGGACTTGTAAAATAATGAACTCTAATTGTATAAATATATATAACATAGAAATTTTGCATTTTTTTGAAAATAAATAAAATTACTTACTTTTATTTAAGAGAGATATTTGAAATTCTAAATTCTAAGATATATGAGAAAAATTAAAGTTTTGAATATACTTAAAACAATTCGAATGTTTATGCGATTACATTATTTGAAATTTTTCAAAAGATTGTATATTCGAATTTCGAATATACCTTCTTTTTTAATTTGCTCGCCACTAGTCGTCACTGCCATCAGATGTCAGTGTAATCGTAAAAAATGGCTGTACGGTGTGTAGTATTTTGACAGTATCACGCAACGTTTGTTGATGATAATTCATAATATTTATAAAAATTGTATGACATATTTAATTATATAAAGATGTCAAGTATCACGATATCAGCCATAAGACCACGGACCAGTATTCTCGATAAATCCTTGAGTAAGGGTAAAGGAGAGGTTAGCTTGAGTTGTTTTGCCCTCTTATTCTCCGAACTAGTGCAATATTGTCAAAACAGAGTCTATACCGTTCCAGAGCTGCAGAATAAGTAAGTAAAGCAAATTATTCTTTATCATTCACTGTCTCGCACTCACTTAAAGATATATTATTTTATGTTGTAACTCTCTCTAGATTGGCAGAGATTGGAGCAGAAGTCGGACACAGGATAACAGATCTACTCGTGGTACGAGAAAAGGGTGGCAAACGTGAGATAAAGCTACTTAATGTACTGCTATTTATCAAAAGTACAGTGTGGAAGTCCTTGTTTGGTCGAGAGGCCGATAAACTGGAACATGCAAACGACGACGAACGTACTTATTACATCATCGAAAAAGAATCCTTAGTAAACAAATTTGTGTCGGTGCCCAAAGATAAAGGGAGCTTGAACTGTGCATCCTTTGTCGCTGGTATCGTGGAGGCTGTACTTTGTGATTGCGGCTTTGTAAGCAGCTTCAGTTATCTATTCTTTTTGAGATAGTCTGTCAATCAATTTATATTTTTATACAAGAACAAAATTTATAAGTGTTTTAAATATTATTGCAGCCCGCTAAAGTAACGGCACACTGGCATAAAGGAACCACATATATGGTTAAATTCGATGACGCTGTTGTTGCACGTGACAAGCAATTGGAAGATCGGTAATAGAGAGAATGAACACATACGTTACATTACTCTTTCTATAAAGATAAAATATATAATACCTATATAACAAGTTTATCAATTGTTATGATAAATCTATAGTCTTTAATTATTGCGTTAAATTCATATTTCATGTATGTACCTTTTATATTTAAGACTGGTATCACTCTTCATCGAATTTTCATAACTATACTTTTATAAAATTTTTAATGTTTTTCTTCTTCTAATGACATACATTGCATTTAACATTAATATATATGTATATGTTTCTTCTTATAAGTTTATTTTATACAATCTAATGTTAAGTTAAACACATCAACTGCATGTACTTTATTAAAATAATCATCTAACAGAATCTATGTGATCTGCTTGCATAATCAATTTGCCCAGTACGATACAAATGTTCTCGTTTATCCTATGAAAAAAAAAAGATAACACATTACACATTAATATTTTTACATCGGTTCTTAAATTTTATGTTTTTTAAACACATTTGGCTTACCCTGTCTTTTTTTAATGCCAATGCAGTTACAACAATAAGAGATGCAACCACTCCAACTTGCGACAAGTATCGTCTTAATGAAGGTACAAAGTATATGTCCAACGATGTTTTTGCAGCAGCGAATCTATATATTCCTGTATCAAACTATTCATAGAATGAGTAATCATATGATAATTTATTAAAATTAATTTACATAGACATAATTATTAAATTCTCTCTAAAATCAATTATTTATTACTTCAAAATCAACAAAGTGGTAAATATGAAGGTACAACAGATAGTTTCCGCTATTGCCACGTTTCATTAATCTGTTACATAATTTGTATATAGACAATTTTAAATATAAAGTATACGTAATTGATTAAAGCAAAAATTATATACATATATACATATTTATAGATCCTATTCGGTTTTTTAATTCTTATTACCTTAAATTCTTATTATATTTTTAATAATAAACTACTTCATGTTCTTTAAAAATATTGAGTATACTTGAATCCAAGGAATACAAAGATCGAAATAACAAGTTCAACTTGTAAATGCAAGTGACAGAACAAAATACTGTCGCGCAATAAATGATAACAACGAATACAATTTATCAGTACATAAATCAAACATAAATAGGCGTAAATATTGTCCACGGAGCACAAGTATCACTAATATATGTGGACCTACAGGTTAAGTTAAATGTCCGTGTATGTACGTACGAGAAGACTTTTGGTCGGGTGTCCTGAATCTCTTAGATACAATTCGCGTAATTGCTTCCGTTTCGCATCTCTCCACAACGCGAGTTCACGTTGTTCTGGTGTTAAATCGTATACCTTTTTCGACATGATTCCAAATTTCGTAACCTTACTTCACCCCTTCACTCTTCACTCAGACTGCGTTCCACTAATGCGGGGTCTACAATAGAAGTCGTAGCGGTTTTAAGTCGTAAAAAATTGACCAATCACAGTCGAATATGAGAAGAATAATCAACTGTGATTGGTCAATTTTCTACGACTTAAGACCCTACGACCGCTACG